TGGGAATCTGGCGGTCACCTGGGGCGGACTGGGAATCCGGCGGTCACCTGTGAGGTCCCGGGAGGTCCTAGCCGCTCGCTGGACCCAGCCATAGCCTCTGAATAACTTCACTGTGGGGGCTGCATCTGCGCAGAGCATTTAGCTTGTGTGTAGAAAGATTCTTGGCGTGATCCCAGTCTCAGTCCTAGTTTGTACACGTTCTGTTCTTAGCATTTCACATTAAAGTGTACAATCCATTTAGAGTTAATTTTGTGGAGGTTGTAAAAGGCATCTCATGTGCTGGGTAGCACTCCAATATCAAGCTGTGGTGTAAAAGTAGGATTGAGGATGTAAAGGATTTACCAATGCTTAGGGGATAGTAAGGCACACCAAGTAGAACTTAGCTGAGGGAGAACTGCCTCTAAAACATCCCACAGATAAGTGTGTGCTAACCAGGCCTGTTAGAGATTAGAATGCTAAGATACACATGTTTGTTCACCAGGATTGTCCAGAAATATGGACAATCCAAACCATAAGAAGGGAAACAACCCTGATTTACAACCAGCCACTAGGCCCATCCCATCCCCATAGTAAAGAACAGGCCTCTAACAAGCTGCTCAATGGGGCCTTACAGGATCACAGCCAACAGTAAGGCCTGCTGTGCCATAAAGGTTTGGTTTCCTTCTTGAGGAAAGCATAATTCTGCCACATTGGCAAGATGACACCTGGTGACAACCATTTGAAAAGGTTTAAAAGAACAAAAACCAAAAAAACTACCATTGTATTGAGTGCTGGCCGGATCAAGCAACACTTTCCCTGAGGTCCCCATGTATGGAGAATGTCATAGCTCCTTCTGAAGCCCAGGGACATGCTTGGCAGAGCCAATAACAGTCTGGGGCCTACTCCTTGGGAGCTTTCTCTGAGGCCCTGGGCCTAGAGATAAATCAGAGCCCCTTCTCTAAAACCAGGAATATGCCCGTGAGAGCTGGTGATGGCCTGAGGGCAGGGCCTTTGGGAGGGGCTGCTTCAGATTCTGAGAACACAACTCTTCCCACCCTAGGGTGCTGTGGTTATCAGTCCCAAGGCCACTCGAGGCTTGGTCAGGAATGTTTTTGAGATACTCTGAGTTCCCCTGGCGCAGCACTGTGTGATTAGACTCCTCCTGAGTGTGTCCTATTGTATGGTGCTTCCGCTGACTTCACAGATGTCTCCCATGTCCTTCCATTTCCCCATGTAAATTGTATACATGATGGTATTCTTCCTTGGGAGCTTGCTTAGCATGAGAAATAGCTTGTAGAAGACCTCTCCACACCAGCTTTTATACTTAATACCTTCTCCTTTTCCTGTTTTTCATCATCTTGGACTTTCCATTTAGGACACTGTCACTCACCTACTGTTTTAGAGCACTGGTGTACTTCAGAAATGATCCTGGGAATGTGCTTGCTGTGTAAATTTCCCATCTGTCTAAGCAGCTAGACTCGCAGTCTCCAGCCTATATTTAAGTTGTTCTCAAACTTAACCTGGAACCGGAACCTAAGAGACTTCAGGGTGGCAGCATACATGGAGTTCAAAATCCAGCCTAGTCTGGGTCCTCTTTTAGCATTAACCAGTGTAGCTGCTCTTCGAAGCTTTGTGGTTTCTTCTTTTTCCCCACCCTTAATCCCCCTCCTCGGCAGCCACCCCTGGCCCCTAATTTCACCTTCTGACACCAGATAGGAGAGAAGCAAGGATGGAGAAGGAAGCGATCCTGGAATCTAGTGTCTTTTCTTATACTGGACCCACCAGCATGAGTCAGTCTCTGATGGGGGGTGGGGGGGAACAAGGATTAAAGATGAGAAAGTCAGAAAGAAGAGGTAAAGCCAAGAGTTAGATTTGGGAGGACTTCTAGTTAATACTGCTGCAGCAGCAGCCAGCGGCAACCAGCAGCCTCAAGTTTAATTTTCATAGTCTTTTTATACCCCACAGTAACATAGAAAGCAAAGCCACAAGCTAACGGAAACAATTTTCTGAAATATACACAGAATATCTGTTCTAATCCAGAGGCACCTCCCTTAAGCCTCAAGTGTCCTTCCTCTCATTGTTTCATGCCTCAGCAGCGGGTGGGAAATGTGCTAACAGACCCTGACCCGCCTTGACTGCCTGGTTTCTACAGAGAATAGGGACAGTTCGAAGGCATCAGTAAATAGTCAAGGAAGAAAAAGGGAGTTCCCATGGTCACAGTTTTCAGGGATTTATTGAGATGATCAAGAAACCACGAGGAGCACATCCCTCAGCCTCCTCAGCCGTATTTTTCTTGAGCTTACTTCCTTGTCCTAGCCCAGTGTCAAATATTCTTGTCAGTTCCCTAGAGGCGATACCAAGAGCTCTCCACACCTAGGAGAGTAGGAGGCTCTAATAAAATACAAATCCACCATACTAGGGCTCTGTCTGCCTCTAGGGTGGGGTTGAAGGGCAGAGCTAGGAAGGCCTATGCTGTCTGCGCCTTTTAATCTCTAATCCTCCAGTAGAGGGGCTGCTACTATCCTCTGGGCAGCCTAGCAGTCTGGAGTAGCTCCAGTGGGAGGTAGCTTGCAGGTTCTGTCCGCACTCTCTGATGCGGTTCATCAGACAGCTATGAGGAAGACCGCAAGCCTTGCCGTTGTGATTGTGGCAGCCACCAGGAAGAGCAGGTTGGCTAAGCTATCAGAGTCCAATCTGGTTGGACTGTGAAGCAGACTGGTGCTGTTGGTACATTTGGTGACCTGGGCAGAGGTCCTCGGCCTCTGAGCCTGCCTGAGGTGGATTCCCTGGATGGGGAGGAGGCAGCTCTGCAACTCTGGCCATAGGAAGCTGTGCGCTTTTGGTGTGCGGAAGACAGATTTCAAAAGTGAAGAATCTGGTTTCTAGAAGTTCTGAACATTACATTGCAAACTCAGTTTTGTGTGATAGATTTTACAAATAGTTTAGAAATTGGCCAGAGATGAGGTTATAAGGATCATCCTTCAACGTTTAATTAAAATCCTTTTACCTTCCCACTGTCACCCATCACAATGAATGGAGTGATTCAGAAAAATTCAGTTCCAGGGTCCAAAAGGAGTTTCTGAGATAGAGGGTTCTCAGGTGTGCATGGTGGTGTTCAGGTGAGTGGGGCAGATTCTACGTCTTGTTCTATAATCCGCATGGCAGGAAGCAGACGTTAACCTGACCTTGGTTTGTGTGTGGGCTCAGTGGGGCTGAGTTTGTGTGAGATCACAAGGGGGCACTAGGCGCTGCAGAGGCACCGCCCACCTTTCTGATCACCTCCATACAGAGAGAGAGAGAGAGAGAGAGAGAGAGAGAGAGAGAGAGAGAGAGATCACGCATCGGGCCTCTGTTTGGAAGTGAGGTCAGTAGTGGCTGGAGGGTCAGAAATAAAACATAAAACAGTTGGGGGTCACTTTGAGTTATTTTTGTGGGAGTTGTGAAGTCTGTGTTTATTCCATTTTTTTTGTTGTTGTTCTTTTTTTGGTTTTTGGGGTTTTTTTGTTTGTTTGTTTTTTGTTTTTTTGTTTTTTGTTTTTTGAGACAGGGTTTCTCTGTGTAGCCCTCCTAGAACTCACTCTGTACCAGGCTGGCCTCGAACTCAGAAATCCACCTGTCTCTGCCTCTGCTGGGATTAAAGGCGTGCGCCACCACCACCCGGCTTATTCCATTTGTATATACATGCAATCATGGGTAATATTGGTCATGTTCACATTTTTCCTGGCTGAGTTTCCATAGGTCTTTTGATTAAAACTTGACTATAACTTGGGGCTTATGTTCTTGGAATTTTTCTCTACATCTCATTATTTTTTCAAAAATGTTGTAAAACTTTTGATTGTTGTAGCTCTGTGATAAGTACGGATTGAATTTACATTGGCCAAAATGTGAACTATTTCTTCATAATCCTACTGACAATTCTGAGGGTTTTTTCACATGGCAAATAGCTTTGGAATCAGCTTTCCTGTTTTGTATTTTTAGAAGTTTTCTTTAGGTCTGTTTATAAAGCTCTTTTGTATATTTTAATTTCTGGACCACACTGTAGCTAATTATTCCATTCAAACTTAAGATAATTTAAATCTGTAAAATAAATATCTCAATTATCACTAAAGAGAACTGAAAATGTTTTTTGAATAAGAAATTGCATTCTATGTCTGTTATAGAATCCATAAGATATTAAAAGCAATTAAAAAAAAGTTTTCTTTAGATTGTTTTGAATTTATGCGGCAAATTGAAACCCAACATCCTTTTTTTTAAAAACATCACTATAATGCTGTCATTTACAGTTATATAAATGGGTAAAAGATATTCTGTATAATTATTCATTTAGGAAACTATAGTAAGTGTGTGAAAATGAAACTGATATGAAATAACATACAAAGCCATAGAAAAAAGACTTTAGTATAGACTTTAGTGGCACAGAATACATTGTTCGGATCACATAAATGGTATCACACTATGTATAACTTAATTGCGAAAACAGAAAGAGTGAAAATAAAATATTGTCCAGAATTGAACAATGAATCTGTATGTGACATAGAATTGTGTATTAGCAATAAACCCTGATAGCTGTAGGTTGGGATTTTCCATAGATATAAGCTAAAATTAGTTAAGACCATGTTGCGTTATGGTTGATACAAAATTACACAAATTTAATATATATATTCCGATACATTTGGACTTAATACCTACACCCAAGCAACCCCATTCTACCGAGTTCTCATAAAAATGACAGAATTGCCATGGATCTCAGCAGTCTTCACAGTATGGTTTCCATGTACTTGAAATTAGTT